AGGAACAGATGAGGAAAAGATGCTGATGAGCGGATGAAATGATGAGACAGAGGGAGGAGACGGGAGACGAGGTGAAAAGTGAGTGAGATGAGTAGAGGAGGACTGGGGTAAGTAGTTGAGAGGACACAGGAAGTTATTGGTTTCTTGAGCAGGAGGGAGGGCGTTTGTGCGCTTTGGGGTCTTTGGTTTGAGTGGGGTTAGCTTTGAATGGTGGTTGCTGCTTAATAGCCGCCGCCACCGCCGCCACCTCCGTATCCGGAGTCACCACCGCCGCCACCACCTCCATAGCCGCCACCTCCGGAGCCGCCGCCTCCACCACCATAACCTCCACCGCCTCCTCCGGAGCTACCTCCTCCGTAGCCGCCGCCGCCACCAGAACTTCCGCCGCCGCCGTATCCTCCACCGCCGGAGCTTCCTCCTCCGTATCCGCCTCCTCCTCCTGAGCTGCCTCCTCCATAGCCGCCGCCGCCGGAGCCGCCACCTCCGTATCCTCCTCCGCCACCGCCGCCCATGGAATAGCCACCACCACCGCCTCCTCCGCCTCCTCCGTATCCTCCACCTCCTCCGCCACCTCCCATGGAGTATCCTCCTCCACCGCCGCCGCCATATCCACTGTCCATCTCCATGCAGCACTTGTTGTCATTGCTCTTCATGCTGTCGACGTGAGTGAGGAATTGTTATGGTAACAGTGTGTAGGTGTTTGTGTGTGAGATTAAGAGAGTGATTGCAGGGGAAATTGGATTGGATGGGTGGGAGAAGGATTGGGGGAAGACGCAAGGACAGGAGGGAATGAGCAAATGAAAATAGAAGATGATATGAGTCAGTTAGTGGCCATGCAGATTGAGCAAAGAGAGAAAGAGGGAAAGAATGGGAGGGACAAAGTAGAAGTAGGACAAAGCTAGGAAAGGCATGGATCACTGAGTACTACCAAACGTGCTTAGGGGGTTTAAGAAGAAGGTAGTAGTGGGAAAATGATAATAAAAGGATAAAAAAGTAAAAAAGTTATTCTCACGGCAGTGGAATGGGGATGGGGATGATCAGCTTCTTTTTAGCCTGCAGAAAGAGANAAGTTATTCTCACGGCAGTGGAATGGGGATGGGGATGATCAGCTTCTTTTTAGCCTGCAGAAGGAGAGGGAGAAAAGTCAAAGGTTAATTTTTAACTGAAAACTTTGACCGCTNAAAAGGGAGAAAAGCCAAAGGTTAATTATTGACTGCAACTTTAACCGCTGCTGTGTCGAACAAATAAGTGAAGGAAAAAAAACTCAAAATCTGTGACAGTACCTTGAGCAGGGCGAGCAGGGGCAGAATGTCCTTGAGCTTCTTCAGCAGCTTCTTCTTCTTGCCCGCCTGGACGGGTNTGCTTTGTCGAACAAGTAAGTGGAGAAAATAACTCAAAATCTGTGACAGTACCTTGAGCAGGGCGAGCAGGGGCAGAATGTCCTTGAGCTTCTTCAGCAGCTTCTTCTTCTTGCCCGCCTGGACGGGTTTGATGTGCTCGCTGACGAGCGCCAGCTCGAGGACGACGAGCAGGAGGAAGAATAGGGAACACCGTTTGGCGTTTAGTATGGCCATGTCTGACTGGGGTGGGAGGGAAGTCGTACAAGGCCACCAAGGTCCTACTGAGACTTAGTGGGGTGTGGAAGCACTGAGCAGTGAAAGTGTTGGTCAGCTGTGTAGTGTCACTGGTAATGCACGGCACTGCAAAACCAAGAGAACAAACGAAACGAAATAAAATTGAAGAAATGAAGTAGAGAAGATAAACTGTTCTGACTGTTCACTGGCCACTGGCAGGGGCTTTTATAGCAAACGACGATGACGATGATCAGCAGCAGCAGCGGCGGATGAACATTGAGACATCTCTCTTACATCTCTAGAGAAGAAGGTTTTCTTGGTGAGCCATATCACACGTCGGACAGCACACTCATAACGGGTTAAAGAAGCAGTCCTTTCCTTTTCTTTTCCTTCCTCTCACTCTCCTTGTTCTTTCCGATTTCAGTTCTCTCTCTCTCTCCCCGAGCAGGCTAATAAAGCCAATATTAATTTGTATTTACACTGCACACTGCTGAGTGCTCATTACCAGAAAGACGAGAGAGAGAGAGAGAGCGAGTTGGAAGCTTGACCTCTTCTTCTCTGGCAGCAGCAGCATCTTCCCTTCCCTTTGGCGGCGGTGGTGACGACGGTGAGAAGTCCTCTCACTTTCACAGCCATGTGTTGTCAGGAGTGAGAGAGAGAGAAAAATTCGTGCTACGGGACGGGCAACGACGTCTACGAAGGCATCAGCAGCCACCACCACCGGACAATGGCCAAACCTGATCATCGTCAGCTCGGTGCTGTGCTGTGGACAGTGTCGTCTCCCGGCGCCCCCACTCTCTCTGCCTGAAAATTAGCAAGATGCAAACGAGCGAGCGAGCGAACGCCAGCTTGGCACAGATTTATCCGGTTGACAGCAATGGCAACGGCATTTCTCCTTCTCATCCTCTTCCTTCCCTCGGACGGATAATTCATGTCCGTGCAGTGCAGTCGGTCTGTCTGAGTCGGTTTGCTGTCGGGTTTTTGCTGTTCCTTGCATTGTGTCGGCGAGTTTGTTCAGCATCCGACGTCTGTCTGTACGTCTTTCCCTCTCTCTCTCTCTCTCTCTCTCTCTCTCTCTCTCTCTCTCT